TTACGTCAATCATTGTGTCATGAAAGACGATCGGTTCGGGGGGCGGCAGCGTTATGGTATGGGGTGGGATAACACAAGACAGAGGGCCCGTTTGATAGTGGTAGAGGGAAATCTCAATGGACAGCGCTACTGCGACGAGATCATCGGCCCTGTTGTTCTACCGTTTTTGCGTCGTCATGGCCCAGGCATTACCTTTCAACCCGACAACGCCCGGCCTCATATTGCTTGACTTGTTCAGGATTCAACAGTCTTCAACAGAACAACGTGAATGTCATCCCCTGGTCGGCTCGCTCCCCTGATCTCTCACCAATCGAACACATGTGGGATGAGATGGATCGGCGCCTTCGACGTCAACCAAGTGTTTCACAGACACTCCAGGAACTTTGAAAAAAGTTGGTAGCGGTACTACAGGAACACTCTGGGTCCTGCGCATGCGCGATGACGTCACTTCCGGTTTCGGTGGTGTGCGCATCCGTGATGACGTCACGTCCTGTTCCGGTGATGCGTGCGCATCCAAGATGGCGGCACATCCGTTTCCGGCGGCGTGCGCATCCAAGATGGCGGCATATTCGTTTCCTTGGAGGCGTGCGCACCTCAGAGATGGCGGCACATCCGTTTCCGGGGAGGAGGGGACCCTAAGAAGCGCTCGTACAATATGAAAGAAGCGCCTGTTACATTCTTGATGTACATTTTTTCTTCTTTTTTTAAAAGAAAAAAGAAGGGGTGGTGGTTGTGGTGGTGGAGGGAGGAGGAGGAGGAGGTGGGTCCTTTGTTTGGGTTTGAGGGTTGTCAAAGCTATGGATGAAAGCGTTCTTTCGGGAGAGATGGGTGGCCCTGAAAAGAGCCGTTTTGGAGAAGAAGTAGATTACTCCCTCTCCCACAAAGGGGCTGTGCTGCAAAGGAACGGATGGCCTGTCACCTGTCTCCTGACAGGACACTGACTGGTGTGGCGATGGCATGTGGAGATGATAGATCACTGAGACGAGCTTATAATACACAGTCGACGACCCAGCAACTTTGTTGCTAGGTTGACGTCATATCGGCGAAGGATCTTGCAACAAAATTCCACAAATCATGTCATCGGGTATTATGATGTAAACTTTGAGGTGCAGGGTCTCATTCCACAAGGCCATCGTATTGTAGCGCACTGACAGTCGTTCGTCTAAGTTACAGTATGTGAGTGGCGATCACCTTAGCGCTACGATCATGTTGTGGAACGGACGTATGGCAAGCCGTTTTCACATTTATTACGGAATTACAGATATCTTCAATTCTTTTAAAGATATCTTGAAATGAATTGAAGATATCTTGAATGGAATTGAAGATATCTTGAATGGAATTGAAGATATCTTAAATGCAGATAATTGTAGATATCTGCAATAAAATGTAAGATATCTTCAATTGTTTTCAAGATATCTTGAAGTGAATTGAAGATATCTTGAATGGAATTGAAGATATCTTGAAAAGAATTGCTGATATCTTAAATTCGATTATTGATATCAAAATATTATTTAAAGATATCAAAATGTCAAGTTTTGTTATGATATCTTCAAACTAAATACAGATATCAATAATCAATTATTGATATCTTCAATTGTTGCCATTATTAAAGACTTCCGCTTATTTACAGATATCTTCAAATACTTCCGTCCGTTAAGTACTGTGGGTAATGTGTCTAACCATGGCGGGCAGTGCTGACAATTCTCAACAGGTTCTTGATCGTATTCATTCCACAATGGGTGACGTACAACGTTTGTTGACTGAAAGTGCCAATGTTTCGTCAGCTAAACAACGTCTTCAGACTGCTTTATCTAATTTACATCGTATATCGCCTTCAATTGATAATACCAAGTATTTATTGGTTAGACAGCCAATCCAGCAGTTGCATACTTTATGCGAGAAGTTAGAGGTCGAGAATCCTCTCTCGAGTGCATCAACCAACAATCAAAGAAATCGTGTCCAGTCGGGTAAGTACCATGTTTGTTCTATAAGAGTTTTCGGTAATTATACACGAGGGTATTGCTAAATTGCGTGTAGCGAGTAGTGTTTTGAATTTTTCTCAAGCGTTGATGTACTTTTTCAGGACTACCTGGTCGACCAAGTATCGACATGTCGATCTGCCAGATAGCATGTCTACAGAAGAAAGGTTACACAGCTGCCAAAATTGCACATCACTTAAGTTGTTCAGCAAGCACCGTCTACAACAAGCTTTATTCCAATGGCATGTCCATGAGGAATAAATACACGGATCTCACCGATGAAGAGTTTCAACGTAAAGTGGCAGACATAAAGGAAAGTTTCCCAAATACAGGAAGTGAGGTGTGTTTAATAGACACATATCATTTTGATAACCATCTACTGAAAACATTATCATTACGAGTGCAGTACGATATAAACACGAGCTAACAACCAGTGAGTGAGTTGGGTTTAATTCCCTGTTAACAATATTATGTTTATGTTCAGACTGTAAGAAAAGATTAACAAACAATGATGTTTTGTGTGATATAATGGGCAGAGAGTGGATGATTGCAGGCGGAGGCGATAAGCAAGGTCAAGCAAAAGTACTAAAAATGACCTCTCAAAATTAGGTACTTCGTAAATGTCGCCATTTTTTACACATTACTAAATCACCACTCACCGCGTTATTTACAGCATGTTTTGAAATCTAAATTTCGGATATTTACTCCGAGAAATGAAATTCAAAAATAGCATATTAGTGATCACGGGTATCTGTCCTTTATGAAATCACCAATGATCGTTCCAAAACATCTCCTATAACTCTAGAATCGTTTAGAATGTTTTGGAAAATACGCAAACACGAACGCCATATCGGACAGTGTTTACAAAACCACGTTTCGGGTACACCCGTTATGAGGCGCCTGTAACATCACGTATATTTCAAACTTAGCTGCGATACACACATCCTTGAATTCTTCATACATTTTAGAATCGAATGAACAATGGTCTTTGTCACCAATACGAAGTGGCTTGATGAAATCAAGCAAAATAAGTTAGGTGTGAAAACAAACCCTGCGCTCGAAAAACTGCACTTGTTTGAAATGTAAACAAAGACAAATACAGATTTTACACAGTGTAGCATTTTCTCCCATGTTGAGCTATGACTGACGCAAAATCACGCACAACGACAACGGTATTTATCGGCATTTCTGACTATTCAGTTGGTTTCAATGAAAATTATAACAACGAATAACAGTACATAGATTGTCAGAATGTTTCTGATTACTTACATGTCACATTTATGTATATACGATCCTTGAATCAACGAAAGTTCCCTCGTAAAATCCCGCGTACTGTTGACAGTGAACACGCCATATTGTAAAAGTCGGTCACCGGTAGTGATGTCATACGTCAACATTGTTGTACATATTTGGTAATTTCTTTGAGGTGAAGGTCCTTGAATGAGAGTGCATTGTTTACAGTTTCAGTTATGATGTAGACTTGGCATATCTTTTATTCATTTTTTCACAAAAGTAATTTCACTTTGGACATTTGTCAGTGTTCAAATTGGCACCACGTTTTGCATGGAGACACGCGTGACACCACGTTTGCATGGAGACACAAAGTACATCACGTTTGCATGGAGACACGCGTGACAGTACGCATGTAAACATACACGAGTGCCAACTCCTCGGCAGGGATGAGCGAGTGACAACGTCATAATCATATTGATAAACGTCTGTTTGAAGACACGCATGGCACCACGTTTACATGGAGAGACGTAGTACATCACGTTTGCATGGAGACACGTAGTACACCATGTGTGTTTGAAGACACGAAGTACACCACGTCTGTTTGAAGACACGCGTGACAGTACGCATGTAAACATACACGAGTGCCAACTCCGCGGCAGGGATGAGCGAGTGACAATTAACGTATCAATTGACCTTTTTCACACTTTCGCCATCTTGGATCGAAAACGAGGCGTGGAGAGCATAGCTCCATGCAGTGTGAGTCGCATCAGCTCATAGGGAACAGACAGCATGTTGTGCATTTTACTGATGGACATTTCAAACAAAAAATGGTATCCTCTGTATCTAATACAGAAGATATTACACATTTAATCATGAGGTCCAACTAAAATATGCCTGTAATACACTGGAATTAGCATTTTGCTGTCAGGATCCCGGAAGTGAATCCAAAGGTGCATTTCGAGATACGTATTTCAGAAAAAGATTGTTTTATCATAACCTCGTCGGCATATAGGTACAATGTGGCAGTACATTAACAGACAGAAGTTTTGTATCGTAAATGCACCGCATAACATGAAACACGTCAGTATACTTTTGCAAATTTGCTCAGTCAATCAATGCGTGGCTTGGCGAACTCGAGATCGTGGATCATGTTTATTTCACGTTTCATAGTGGTGTTTGCTGCACAACGCACTATCGTTTTGCCATGAGTCCAGTTGACAAAAGACACTTTTTCTGCTATGATTTTCATCTTAACATATTACGATGTAAATGAAATTAGTTCACAAAATAATTTGTGTGTCAAAATAAATATTCAGAAGGGGCGATAACTCTATTCAGTGTGTACAATGACAGACGATACTTTACTTGTTCTTCAAACATCACTTACTTAACTGATTATTGCCGATTGAGATTGTACCGTGCACGACAAAAGTGAACTGTTTGAACTGTTTAAAATAAGTTAAAAGGAAACTAAAAATTGATAAATATATATAAATAATGCATGAAATTGAAGAAATATAAGAATTGATACAACCACCAACTTCTTGAACACCCTCACCTAATCCTGTATGATGATAGGTAATTGTATATCAAAAGGAAGCTACCAATACATTTATCCTGAATAGTTTGAAAATGTCTTGATCAGATATGAGTACAGATAAAATAACAAAAGACAAAAAGGAATCAACTTCAATTGGTAATCAAGCCAAGATAAAATATATGTATCGGTACAAATTATGTTCATGGAACAATCTGGATTTCTCATTTTTAACAAAGAAAAACAAACCCTAATTTTCATGTCTTTATTTCTCACAATATAAGTTTTCCAAACTTAACATGGACCAGGTGTCATTGTTAGTCAAAAGCACCTAATTAAATTCCAGGAGAAAATAATTTTCTTGCTTGTAAACAAATGGTACAATGTGCTTTTTTAGTGTCTGATTAATATTGGCCATGTTGTTTTGTGAGTGAATAAGGCTTTTCACTTCCTCGTCCTATTTGAGTGAAATGTGACAGGAAGCACATTTGTTGATTGAATGAATATGGCTTTTCACTTCCTCGTCCTTTGACAGGACGCACATTGTAACCAGTGTGTTACTGTCAGCAGAAAGCTCCTCCAGACATCCATCACCGGATACTAGTACTTCATTGTGTTGACTCGCTGGACTGAAATGAATAATTCAATAATACTGTAATAATATTTCTACTTCAATAAAAAAAATTTATAAACAATGCATATTCACCTTCTTTCAAAATATTGATTATTTAGAAAACAACATTCTTCTGAAATAGAGAAATTTAAGGAAAATTAATCACAGTGTGTAACATTACATGCTTCTTTAGAACAATCTTGAAGGCATCAATTCATCTGATATGTCTAAAACTCAAACAGTATATTCTGTGTAAACAGTAAACTCAACAGATGTATCAATTTAATGACAGTGCACTACAGCTCTTTATATCAATGTCACACAGAAATTCACTCTTGTTTTAATGAAACACGTTTTGATATTTGTATTACCGGTATGTATTTAATCATGAAATACTTTGTTTAGTCTGACTATGCTGAAAAAATACTTTCGCTAGAGTGAAATAAATAAGATTTTTTTTATTAAAATCAGGTGAAATATCACGTTTTGTCACACCTACAGTCAGTCTGCCTCATTGACACTATGGTTTTCTGAGTAAGGTCATGAAGATCAAAGAAAATATAAGACTTGAATTTATTTTGTCAAATGAAATGTTTATCTCTTCTTGTGGTTTACTAAAGTTGATATCTTGACTTGAAAATATTAACTTTGTCAGATCACAAGATGAGATAAATTCATGCTATCATCGTTATTTGACAAGGAAAACAAATTTCTTCTATGTATTTATATTTTTTTATATTTCTAGTTTTGATTGAATTATAAAAATTATCAAAATGATCACACCACTTGACTTGATTGAAATAAACTAGAGTTCTTCATGACCTTACTCAGAAAACCATAGTGTCAATGAGGCAGACTGACTGTAGGTGTGACAAAACGTGATATTTCACCTGATTTTAATAAAAAAAATCTTATTTATTTCACTCTAGCGAAAGTATTTTTTCAGCATAGTCAGACTAAACAAAGTATTTCATGATTAAATACATACCCGCTTTAGACACATTACCCACGGTACTTAACGGACGGAAGTATTTAATAATGGCAACAATTGAAGATATCAATAATCAATTAGTAGTCTGTGTGCAAGCTGATTTATACATGTTCATATACATAATATCAATTTATTATTATTCAAGTTTCAATTTTTGTAACGTTGCTCGGAGGATGTAAAGCAAATAAAGACAATGTCCTGGGGGATGTACATGTAGGTATGTGAACCCGCAAGGACAACCTTTATCAATTATTTTACGTGCAGCTTGTGTCATGTCTGTATTGTTAGAATAATACTCTAGCAGCTGTACACATCGAAATTTATGACTTAAAGATCAATCCTCGGGTTAAAAATGATGGATTACATTAGGTACGTCTATTCGACAAATAGGTTAATTGATTTATCATCCAATAGTAGCTTAGCTAGGAGTCCATTGCAATAAAATTGAGTTACGAGTTACCGAAGAGAGCTCTATGCAACCGGACCCTGAAATTATGTCGATTTGCATTGGAGGTTTACTTAATTTGATAAGGAGCACATGACCGTTTCCTTGAAAAAAACGAGACAATTCAATCGTATTTATACATTATATTTTGGCAAAGAATTCAAATACAACAAATGTGTGACAGATCTCCTGTGCAATGTCAAAGGAAAAAACCCAATGCAAACAAAAGTGCAGCATAGATTTCACATGCATGGGAAAGGAGAATACTTAATACATAACATTATATACAATGTTTTTATTAATATCAAAAGAGGGGCGTGGATATTCGTTACCTACATTGCATATAATATTAGATATTGTGTATTCTCGATCTCTGTGAACTTCTCACAGATAAAGAAATAATAATAAATAAATGCAAACCATGTTAACTTATGCAATATGTGTAGCAATGTATGATTAACATTTGGATCATTAATATAAGATAAAATATTTCCTTTCATAGGAAGAAGTATATTTAATGAAATAAATGAATAAATGTAACTGTCTGGATTCCTTTCATATGTCATGAAAAACCAACAACAACTTACTGACAACTTTTGCTGGGATAATAACTCCTTGCCCCAACAACTTAAACAGAATCCATCATGATAACGGCACGAAATCATAATTCAAAGCATACACAAATAATATCCGGTATCTTCGGGCATGTCTTGTTGAGTTTCAAAGAGCATCAGAATGTATAATAAATTTGTTGCAATCAATTATTGCTGAAATATATCTGTTTTGATCAAGTTGAACGGATGGAAAATCTATAATGAAAAGGGTTTTGTTATAACGTAAATATTCTCCTTGACCTTGTACGAAGAATATTCTAAGATCATTAAACTCGGCAATCGTTAGTGGATTGCGCCAAGCAACCTTGATACCCAATTTGGTAACATATATTGCAGTCTCAAATTTAGAAGTTTTAACTCAATTTCAGAAAAAAAAGTGATACGGGTTGGCAATTAGAACTAGGTAAAAAACAATTGGAGCAAAATATAATTTGACTTTTTGGTAAGTCACCAGTCATTTCATTGGAATTTTAAGAGAGTGTGTTATTACAGTGCTTGATGTTAGCCCAAATTACTTTAATCCTCTTAATCTTTCAGAGGAGGTTATGTTTTCAGGGGATTATTGTACGTATATATTTCGTATCAAGGTTTCTTGGCGCAATCCACCAACGATTGTCGAGTCTAATGATCTTCAAGTACGTTTCAAGGTCAAAGAGAAAATTTACTTTAGTGACAAACATATTTTCATTATAAATTTTCAATTCCTTTCTATTTGGATACAAGCAGATATATTTCAGCAATTAATTGCAAGAAATAATGATAATTCGTATTCTCTTTGAAACTGTACAAGAGTTATCCGAAGATACCGGATGTTATTTGTGTATGCACGGGATCTGTCAACTCATTTGTTGTATTTGAATTCTTCGTCAAAATAAAATGAATTGTAGAAATATGATTAAATTCCCTCGTTTGTTTCAAGAAAAGGATCATGTACTCCTTATCAACTCGTATAGCGTTTCCACTGCAAATCGACACACTGGTTGACCAGCCTGTGTTTGTACCCTTCGTCATCACTCGTTCAGTCGTGTCGAACTGGTCAACGTAGTGTTGAGGCAAGTCATGCAAAAAAACATCTTGAATAGCCTTATACGAGTATTGAACAATATGTCACTATTAAGTTATTTGTCGAATATACGGTTGTGTAACCCATCATTTTGAACCCCAAGGATGGATCTTTCAGTCATTTAAATTTATCGATGTTGACACCACCCTTTAATGACGATTGTACGATAAAGCCTATACCAACCATCCCTAACTTAACAGTTTTGTACGTTTGTCATCATACACAGTATTTCTCGAATTGTACATGTGAAACGCAAGCTCAACTGACAAAGATCATTTCTAGTCAATTGGCGTCTTGGACACTACGGTAGTAAGGTTATTACAATTTACGTAAGAATTTATTACATTTTACCGCAAGTAGAGATTAATACAATTCACGTCAATTTTTATTACAATTTGCGTATTACAATTTACGTCAAATATTATTACAATTTACGTTGTTATTACAATTTACGTCAAAATTATTACAATTTGCTGCAAGTATTACAATTTACCTTTTTATTACAATTTACGTCGTAACAGCCACTTTGCATTGGAACTAAACTTCCTTCAGAACATGTGGGGGCGGTCGGGTAGCCTTGTGGTTAAAGCGTTCGCTCGTCACGCCGAAGTCCCGGGCTCGATTCCCGACATGGGTACAATGTGTGAAGGCCATTTCTGGTGTCCCCCGCCGTGATATTGCTGGAATATTGCTAAAAGCGGCGTAAAACCATACTCACTCACTCAGAACATGTGCCAATTGAACACTTTCAGCATCATTCACCAAGTTTATTACACTTTGCAACTTTATTACAAAACGGTTGCCATGTGCATTTCACTTATGATAAGAGTGAGTGAGTGAGTATGGTTTTACGCCGCTTTTAGCAATATTCCAGCAATATCACGGCGGGGGACACCAGAAATGGGCTTCACACATTGTACCCATGTCGGGAATCGAGCCCAGGTCTTCGGCGTGACGAGCGAACGCTTTAACCACTAGGCTACCCGACCGCCCCCTTTATAATAAGACTCTGAACCCGTTTTGTATAATAATCATTACACTTTGAAACGATTCCAATGTTAGGTCAACGTTTCATCCAAAGTAGATATGATGACGACCAATCTTAACGTAAATACCGTTTGTGTTCCTAATTGAACTTATAAGCAAGTTATGGGTGCCAATTGAACACTTTCAGCATCATTCACCAAGTTTATTACACTTTGCAACTTTATTACAAAACGGGTTGCTATGTGCATTTCACTTTGTTATAAGACTCTCAACCCGTTTTGTAATTATCATTACACTTTGAAACGATTCCAATGTTAGGTCAACTTTTCATCCAAAGTAGATATGGCTGGGGTCGATTTCGTAGGTGTGTTGTTCGAATCCAGTTGTCTTGTCGATTATTGGTTACGCGTAACCTGCCACTCCGAGGATGGTCTCTGACTGCATTTGTCTGTTGCCAACATTGCCATAAACACCAAATGGTGTTTCTGTGGACGTTAAATTGTCTTGCAACATCACGTTGACTCGATCCTGCTTCAAGCATACCAATGGCTCGCAGACGCTCATTTTCAGACAGGCGTGGCATTTCGTAATGTTGAATAATTGCGTAATTTTGTTGTTTTTCTGAGTGGTTGTTGTCAGCACGATGCTAAACAATGCATATGGAATCCCGTTAACACACATGTTTTTATACCCATTCTTGGGTAGTGAAATGCATGGGGCTTGCATAAAAGTCAACTTTTGCATGGAATGCATGCTTTTCTGTAGCAGTTGCGTTTTTGTGATTTGATTCCATACATGTACTGCAATATTGAAAACCAAACTTTACTTGTTTGAAAGATACACAAAAATATTGGTGTCACAGGAACTTTTGTTGTTGAGTTTATAACAGCAGCTCATATTGACCTTGATATTAATACACCCTACCGGTTACTGTCTTCGCCGCCTTGGCAGTTAGTCAAACCAGAAATAGACCTTACACTTACTAACTATAAAATATCTGAAACAAACCAGACAATTTTTTCAACAAGAATATGTCCAGTTACGTTCTAAATATAATTCTCACCGCTCCATGTTCACAAAGTTGCCAGTGCCACCATCATTGGTTCAAAAACTATTTCTTCAAGATTACCAGATAACAGCTCAATATGTACTGCTGAAAGCTAAAGCCATTCAAACAGTATTGACATATATTCAGAAACAAACTACATGTAAACAGTTCATCATTTTCTCTGATTCTTTATCATGCCTACAGGCACTTAAAACTGTCAACTCGAATCACCCGTTAATACGTCATATTTTAGAACTTTATAATAATCTTGCTACTGGCCAATACCACATCGTCCTTTGTTGGTTGCCTAGTCATGTTGGTATTGCTGGAAACACACGAGCTGACGCTGCAGCTAAAGCAGCTCTTGATAAACCAGTGTCTCACCTTACCATTCCCTATAGTGATTTTAAAAAAGGCATCAAGGAATATATTCGTAGTTTGATGCAGAAAAGATGGGACACCCAAGTAGGTACAAATAAACTTCATGAATTTAAACCTCAGTTAGGTTACACCTACTTGGGGTGCAAGTCCAGACATGACGAGGTTGTTCTGCGACGATGCCACAGTCGTTACACACATGAATATCTCTTAAAAGGTGAGGATCCTCCGTTTTGTGTCCCTTGTGATGAGAGAATTACAGTCAAGCATATTTTGCTTGACTGTATTAGACGTTTCTCTTACAAGGGATACCTATTATCATTCAACTTCTTTAAAGGATCTTTTTATAAATATCAATGTTCGTTTAATTATCAGTGTTTTAAAAGAAATAGAACTATTTGATAAATTTTTAATTTTGAATGTTTTAAAATAGTGTGATGTTATTTACAACAGAACGTATTGAAGGCTGTGCCACTCAGGGGGTTAACGTAGTGTAAAATTATTGTCCCCCTGACAGTGGCACGTGAGTCCATCTATGTTTAAGTGATTAATATCAACTGGTGTTTTAATGTATTGATTGTGCTTCTATTTTTAATATTGGTCAGTATTACACAAAACCACTAATGACAAAAGTGATGGCATAAATCCTGCCGGGAATCATGCAGGAAACAAAAGCACTGTAAGTCCCCAGTGAGGTGGTCCAGCTTTGATTGCGGGTGGTCTATAGCCTGGTTGTAATTTATAGGAACTAATCTACTAAAGATTCTTTGTTTTTTTATTGCTTAGGTTTGTTTTAAATCTAACTGTGATATTTGCCTTACTGTCCTTCGTCGACATTTCTTTAATTATAGTAACTACCTTGTTCTCATCGCGATATGGCTGCAATACTGCCGATGCGATGTAAAATTTTAACTCACTCACTCACTGTAATGTTTGATGAGTCATTTCAGCAACGTGTTCTAGATTCCGCTGAACAAGACAGGCATGTCTAGATGTGTGGTTGTAAATGTATTGATTTCTACTCTTTTTGAGAAATGTATATTTAAATGTAAACTGTATTTAACAGATATTCGCTCTGTGTGTTATTACAAAAAGCTTTGTTAAAATTTAAATTACGTATGAATTCTCTTGGTGTTGTATAGCTTTCGTGAAGGTAAAAGTTAATTATATGATCCTGAAGTCTTGTGTAAAACCTGCTTTGTAAGAGAAGATGAAAGTCGTGTATTTTTTATTGCCCGTGTTATGCAGTAGAACGTAATTTGTACTTGCCAGAATATATAACTATTTCTAATTATATATTGGATGAAGCAAAATAATATACATCTTCAAATTTAAAACAAATTGCTTAAATTGTCAAAATGTTTGAACAAAGAGATATTAAGATGCAGCTATACATTTACATATATATGTAACGTATTTTGGGTCAGACGGCTTGGAATTCTGAATTATCTGAATCTGAACAATTGGCTCGAGCCCATTGTCAAAATGCAAATGTTATAAGGGTAACGTGACATGTACTAACAAAACAAAGGTCAAATGTATTTTCTACCTTCATCACGTCTTCGACCAGTCTTACAATTAAATTATGGTCTTATTATCTCTGGTATTATATTCACATATTGTATTCAGTAAAATTAATACGAAATGTTTTTAATCAAGAAGACCTTGTGGCACGTGTGTTGCACTTTGTTAGCCAATAAAATCATGTCATTTATTCGTATTTGGACTGTGACTCAATCGATATTTATAATATATTAAAGGGTTCAAATACTTATTTAAGACCCACCCATTCTCCACCCTTTCGTTACATGATTATAATATTTTTAAAAATATGAAAACTTTAAATTTGTTCTTTTGCGCGCTCCTGTTTCCCAGCCACAGAGGAAGACAGATTTCGAGCAATTTTCACCATTCCAAAGAATTAATTATTCACATGGGGAGCTTACAGTTCTATATTTACACTACACTGTTAGCTGACCTTCTTTGATCGTCAAAACGTTAAATACGGATTGGGTTGCAATAACGTGTTTAGCTGGAGTGGAATTCAAGTATACATCGGGCTACTCCACAATTTAGTCTCCTTACAAACACGCGTGGGTTTGTGCTTATCCCAAACCGGCTCGGCTAACCAAATCCTTTGATCAACACTTCAGTGTCTGCGCATGCGCTTGGCGTCTATTTTCATTGAAGTAAATAATCTCGACATGGCAAAATGTTACGGCAAAGACAGAGAATGGATTACCCGGTATTAGCAGCGTGTCTCGTCTCCCTGTGTCTCTACCTCAACACCCTTGATGCAGACTTCGCCTACGATGATAGGTACGTTGTTAATGATTGCTAACATCGTCAAATAATGAGTCTCTCCCCCGACCAGGTGTGCCGCCTCGCCTTCTTACGACTGACACTAGAGTGTAGGTAACTCGGAGACGTGTTTGGACTATTTGTTGGAGCTTGTGCCACATGAGTCATGGTTTGTTTGAAGTGTAAAGAACTCAACTTTTTTACTCAAACTGTTGGCATTTATCAATATAAATGTTGCATTTGTGTCAGTGTATTCAAAATTAAACCCGTAAACAGTATGCGATTAAAGAATGTGTTCGCCACCCAATATAGTATCACCGCGATCACGCATGCCTCTTCGATAATTAGGGTAAGGAAAGGTTACCCCCGAACTCAATCCTTAAAATTATCTCTTAGATACTTGAGTGAAAACAGTGGCAAACATATTCTTAACCACTCCAAAAATCTTCAATGTGAGGATAAAACAGTCAATGTTGGTTGATATGATGCACTAGATCTAGATCTACCTGAAAGTGCATGATGTGATTGTGAAAAACGTTTTGCGATTTAATTTTCCTAGATATCTGAAGTCAATTTCCTGAGAGACAAAAAATCATAACATTGGTGGAAAGTATTAAAATATCCAATGCCAAGGTGCTGAAATCACATGTAATTGGCTTCCAAAACAGACCTCTTTGGGGGTGTGTCCTGAAGCTACAGACCCTGGGGTGTGTGACAGCTGCTCTGATCGATGCCATTGCATGTACATTGTTGAGTGTTTGAAAAGACCTTTGATCTTGCCATTTTGAATAATTGAGACAGCAAAGTATGTAGTATGACTCTTACTTAAACCGAGTTTTAACCAAGAGTGACCTCCCTTTCGCAAGACCCACCCAAACTCCTCAGAGCAATAGCCTGTTAATGGAGCTGTCTATACTATTTCTACCACCAGTCAAAGCTCCCCACAACCATGCATGGAGTTGAACTCGCAACGATCGACCATTATGTTTACATGCAAGTGATGTCTGTCATAACACCGACTACTCTTACCCCAGCTGAATTATTTCTCTTTTGTCAGTTTGAATTTCTATTTCATTTTAACTATCATGTAATTGGTATAGTAAGAATGTAAGTGGGAAGTTGGTTGGGTTTCTCAAAGAATCTGATCATACAAACAAAAAGGTCAATTCACTCCGGGAAATCTGGTCAGTCGTAACCTTTTCAAAATTCACTATGATGGCATTCCTAAAGACAGTTTGTGGAAATTATGGCTGATTTGAAATCACCAGTGACGGTGAACAGAACATTTCAATAGAGATGTTTTAATTTGTATTTTTTATGGAATCTTTGATACCTCGACATTCTTCACATTACTTCATATACATTGTCATAAGATTTTTCGAATCCAAACTTGACAATGACATTATGTTACTACAATGGCAGGGCAACAACAAAAATGTGCAACAAATGATGTTGATGTATCATGCCAGGTCTCCATGGTTTCTATGCAGAACCTTTGAAGGTGCGAGTTTAAAAGTTAGTTGCTGAGACAGCAGAAGACAGCATTTTTAGTCCACAAGTCCTTACAATGGTAACATATTGAAAGAAGACTCAAGTCGCCAGTAAACTCAAATGATGTTTACTTGTTCAGATCAAAACCATAACTGACAACACAATGGTATTACTATGATATCATCACAACACTCACACAACCATTCCAAACTATGTTAACATTGCGTTCTTATTATAGAAATACTTCCAGGTTTAGAGTTACCTCCCTTACATCATTATATAACAAACCCCTTAACATGGCAAATTTCTACTCGTCCTTATGGTACCTTAACTGTTGGGCAGTTTGGCAAGGACTATAGGCCTTGTGCCAATTTCTATCGCTATGAAGGCATTGAATTGTCGTAAAATCTCTTTGTAGAGACAAACTCAACATTAAACGATGTGGCAGGTTAAGAAAGCCTGTTACACAACTTTGGATTTAAAGTAAAAAAGTCAAGTTTATTCTGCTACTTGACAGAACAATAGCTACAAAGTAGGAGAAACCCTCTTGGTGTGGTGGGTGGGTTGAATGAGAAAACTCCACGTGCTGCATGTCGTATGAACAACAAAAATGGCACCAAACCTCAACTGCCCCTAGGCACATAAACTGAAATAAACATAAATGAGAACTCACAAGGTGTGGACAGTAGGGACCTTATTGAAGACCATGTATGAACAATGCTTAAAATTGCATGGATCGATGCTCATGATATTATTCACAGGATTGTCTGGTCCAGACTCGATTATTTGCAGACCGCCATCATATAGCCATAATATTGCAGAGTGTGGCGTTAAACAACAAACCAACCAACCAGCCAACCAAAATAAGATCCTGTACACCCATATCCAAGGTTGCGGAACATGGTTCAGAAATAAAGGGCAAAGATTCAAAATCTTCTGTTCGCCATCTTACAGAATAAATAGAAGTACTATTGATCATTTAGTACGATTAGAATCATTTGTTAAAAAGGCTGTGATAAACAAACAACAGTATCAATATTCTTTGATCTAGAGAAAGCATACGATACTACCTGGAAGAAGCATTCTAAAGGATTTACATGATTTTGGTTTGAGAGGTCGTTTGTCTCATTTTATATCACAGTTTTTGACACTATAACAGACAGGCAATTTCAATCAGGATCAGGGTGTCCCATAAGGCAATATTTTGTCTGTCACACTGTCCAGTCAGTATCAAGACAAATAGTCTTTCAAAAGTTGTAAGCGATTCAGTAGATGGATCGCTGTTTTTGGATGATTTTAATATTTCTTGTCGGGATAAAAACATGCATGCTTTTGAGAGACAACTGCAATTGTGTCTGAATAAAAGTGGCTTTAAATTTTCCAAAGATAAAACTAGTTTGACACTTAAGGAGCCAGAACTGTTTCTATCTGGCACCCCCATCGAAGTAGTTAAGGAGTCCCAGTTTTTCAGACTTCTTTTTTATCATCATCTGACATTCCTACTACATATTAAATATCTCAAAGCAAAATGCCTAAGAGGGGATCAAAAAACCCTTCTCCATTTGTACAGATCACTTATTCATCAAAAGTAGATTATGGGTCCATCATTTATGGTGGAGACTGTAAAAGTTGTTTACAGAAATTGGATTCAATACATCATAAGGGATTGAGGCTCTGTCTTGGAGCTTTACGGACATCTCCTGTTGATAGTTTATACATGGAGGCCAGTGAACCTTCCCCGAAACAACGCTGTCTTAAACGCGCATTACATTTCAATACATTATTAAATTACGTTTAAGTCTAATCCTGCATATAGTTGTTTTCTATCATGATATAACATTTATACTAAGTTTTCCTATGATAATTAGATCCACATCAAGTGATTTTATGAGTTATCATGGTGTAATATTTATACATCATTTCATATAACTTTAGTTTAGCAAGTAATACTTATCATAAGGTAAAATGCATCTATAAAATATAAGTAGTTAAAGCTTTTTAGATAGATGCTAGCCTAAGGTACTGGGAGCGCATCTCCTAGACATACTATTCAATAAGACAAGAGTTATGTCTACATGGTTTAATCATGTTAATAGATTTGAAGCTTTTAGATAAATGCTAGCCTAAGGTATAAAGATCCCATCTCTCAGACAAAAGATATGTCTACATAGTCTTATAGATTGCCTTGAACTATTTTATTTAAGTAAATCTGTCATTGCCTATATTAGAACATTCAGCAATTACTTCAATTTAGACTCATTAAGGATTAGCCCCCATGCAAGCTATATAGTGACACCATAATCTCTTTCCAAGCACCCAGTAAATATTTCAACAAGGTTAGTGCCAGTCCAACAGGATTAACAGGATTAAGTATTCCTCTCTGTCTAGCCATTCATTAACCATAGGGCACACCCCATCGTGTATCAACCAATCATATTCCTTTTTATTGTTCTAATTTTTGTTAAATACATACAGAAGCAAAATGTTAAGCAGAAGGGGTTTGACGTTCAAACCAAGCAGATCTCTCTCCCACAGCCCAGAGGGTTGTACCGATTCTCTGTGACACCCTCAGCTATATTCTAAGATATTGTAAATTGTTCATTGTTAATTGTTCTTGTAAATAAAATTGTGATTAGTCTCCTGTGACTCCGGCTCTTTGATGACTTATTCCCCCAAGAAAACCAGCACGCCGTTTGGAAGGTTTTGTTCTTCCGAACAGAACCATAATAATTCCATAATAATTTGGCGGAGAATCATCGATTTCGGAACCACGGAGCCCAGGAACTAACTACGACCAGCTACAAGAACCCATTGGAGGACATGTCCAACCGTGATCATCTGATGGAATAACAAGCAAGCTGCATCCACCTCTGACCTCAACACTGGATTAAAAGACAACCAACTCCTCCAAAGACATCAACAAAGGAAAAAAAAGTCTTCAAATATTGTAAGTACTTCATTACATTGTTGATTACTTGTCTTTCTTTAATTTAGTACGGTACATACTAACAGGTGTCATTGCAAATATGGAGTCTGGTATGGAAAGTAACTTTGAAAGTGAAATTCCAACAGTGTCTTTAGTTGCCAAAAGTGTAATTCGGGCAAAATTTGGCACAAAAACAACAAATTGTTTAGTAGATACAGGGGCATCCATTTGTTGTATTTCGTCTTTATTTCTGGGCACACTTTTTGAAAACCTTACTCTTGGAAACTCACCCTTTCCACAGGTTAAAGGTGTTGGCGGCGAATTGCATAAAGTGTTAGGTTCAGTTGTGTTAGATTTTGTCATTGAGGATCAGGAATTTTCTCAAAGATTCTATGTTCTGCCTACACTACCAAAGGCAGTGATACTAGGTGAGAACTTCCTTGATGACAATGATGCAGTCTTAGATTATAGCTGTCATTCCTTGATACTTAACAACAGCACCTCAGATAGGCAATATATCAATTTCATAGCCAATTCAGTGCAAGAGATTTGTGGATTAGCAAAAACAATAGATCAGATTTACATCCCCCCTCAGAGTGAATTCATTTCAAGGTTAGACTATCAGAGACCAAAGAGGATTCCCCCCTCCTCATT